AATGAATAAATGAATAAATGAATAAAAAAAACGGCGGAAGAAATTGAATGGGAGCCTTTGGTGCTTAGCCTAGTCAATTTACTAGATAACAGTGAAGAAGTCACTCTGAAGAAGTCACATAACCTATTTCAGCTAATGTTTTCAATGGAAGATAGGTCACGTGCATTAATCCAACTATCGAAAGAATATCGTTCGACATTATGAAAAGAATATTGTTCAAGTTATCGATAGRATGTTGCTCGAAATATCAAATGAATCTTGGTCAAATTATCGAATAGACATAGTTGGATTATCGAATGAATTTTGCCTCAATCACTGAATGACGTATACAGTTAAGTATGAAGAGTTTTGGACATCAAATCGAATGCACATGAAGGTCGATTTATCAAATTTTGGTAGAGCACAAACACTGTAAGTGTGTAACATAAATTCCAATACCACTAAATACTGCTAAATTGTGCTATTCCTATTGTTTTCTATTGTTTAATTAGCACTATTTACTACTAAATAGTGCAAAGTGTTGCACACTTTTAGTGTTTGTACTCTACATTTTTCTCAAATAAATTTTGAACAAAATCAATTAGCTTTATTGTCAAAATATGGAATCATCGAACATATACACACGAAATCGAATATTGACACATTTCGGCAACCATATGGGACTGATATCATGTTCGCAATGGCCTTTTGCGTTTTGTTAGGATATTTGGTATTCTAGGTTTTAGCATTTTAGCTAGGTTACGTATAAATCGAGCTCAAAATCTACACATTGCCTTCGATGTTTAAACTTCGTGGCCGGGGTGCACGATAACGGAACACCTATCCTACCTTTGGTTTTCGATTCATAGTCCTCCACTATTTGTTTAAGCCCTTCATTTTCAAGTTCCAAAGCCAGTTCCTTCAACTTTCTTACATTATCCATGCTTATGACATTGTTGGACACTAACAACGTCCAAAATTGCTCAACCGTTTCGATGTCTTCAAGTTCTTCATCGTCAATGTCAGGAGTATCTCGAAAGAGTTCCTTTATTTTCACGAACATGTTTTGATCACCGTTTACTAATTCCTTAAATCGTAAGCGCAGGCCATTGAAGTAAAGTGGGTTTCCCATGTTTTTATGTTGACAGGCCGACGGATCAGGAAGCTTCTGGGGGGGTCACCATTTCTTAGAATTTGGAACACAGGAAGCCCAGCATTAAAAAATACTTTAAAAGTGGTTGAGCACTGGTTTCCCATCCAGGTTTCCCGTTTTGAATGCTATTTGCCGTTAAACCGGAGCTCTCAAAAAACCCTAAAACACCCAAAATCGTCTCAAAAACCAGTCAGAAAGCTTCAACAACTATCTATCATTTATTTTCGAACATTTATTTTTGAGATTTGAAATTAAGAGATATTCTCAGGGGCGATTTTCAAACTCTACTGAGATTTACTTAGATTGCTTTAGTTCGCGACACAGAAAGCCCAGTATACAAAAACAGAGGATGGGAAACCTGTGGCGTGCATCGGAACACAAAATGTTGGTTAGGGATTGGTTAGGTTCGTCTGCAACGTACCCAGATATATGTGCTAAATTGTGGTTTGTTCTCTCGCACTCTTCTTCTCGAGCCCTCTCACAGAGCAATTCGGCTAAGGCAATGCTTTACCCAATTCGAATCTACTGGGAATATTTTTTTTGTCTATTAATTACTCCATTAACTATGATTATAATGACATATCATATCCATATCAATGCTTCATTGACCTGTAAATATAATGGACAAGAAAAGTATTCCCAGTAGATTTGAATTGGGTAAAACACTGATTGCGTTAGCCGAGTTGGTGTATTGGCTGCTTAGCGTTACTCAAATCAGCGCTACTCGAAATATTTCCACGAGCACTTGGCCCAACGAAATTGAAACGACAACCTGAAAATCCCATACTGCAAACCAATAATCTGTAATACGAAGGGCTCCCCCCCCCNCCCCCCCCATCCCCCCTACGAAGTCAAAAATGAAACAAAGACACGCGAGAATAAAGATTTCCACCAAAACTCTATTTTTTGCGATGGCTAAATCCATCCCTTTATATTGGAGAAAAATTGGAAGAGGGAATGGAAGGAAGAGATGGACCTCGGTGGGTCGGTGTGGTCGAGGAAAATATAATGTAATGGTTTGTTTCCGTTTTGGGCTCCCTGTGGTAAACAACATGGCGGCCCGCTCATGGCGAAGTATTCCATGTAAAGTGAATCAAGTTCGTCTCGATATTATCCTAACGTCTGGACAATCATTTCGATGGAGGAAGACAGGAGATAAAGAATGGACGAGTGTATTGAAAGGAAAGGTTTGGACGTTAACTCAGGACGAACAAAACATTCTTTACCGAGTTTACGAACCACAAAAAGTCTTCGCAGAAACAAAAAAATCATCCAAAAAATCGATAAAAAAGCCAAATACTTCCATAGCAACTCTAATCTTAGAAGAAGAAAATGATGTAATTCTTCGGGAGTATTTTCAACTCGATATAGATTTATCAAGACTGTACTCAAAATGGACCGAAGTTGACCCATATTTTTCAAAGATTTGCAAAGTCTTTCCTGGAGTGAGAGCACTAAGACAAGACCCATTAGAAAATCTCTTTAGTTTCATCTGTTCTTCTAATAATAATATCTCTAGGATAACTGGAATGGTAGAGAAATTATGTGTTCTTTATGGAGAAAAAGTGACAGAGCTTAATGGTGTAGAGTATTTTAGCTTCCCAGATGTGAGTGCTCTTGCAGGTCCCAAGGTAGAGCAGCAGTTAAGGGCACATGGATTCGGATATCGAGCGAAATATATACAGCAAAGTGCTAAAATTATACAGGAAAAAGGAAAAGATTGGCTGATGGGACTCAGGGATGTTGGCTATGAAGACGCACATAAAGGTGATTTCTCCTCATGCCCCCCTGACTCACACTACATGTAGGCAGGTCAGAATCTTTTCTAGTCTCAATCTTGGGTCACTCTCCCTCCTGACTCATCCTAGACATAGCCAGTTCAGCATGTTTTCTCAAAATGCCTTGGGTCACATAGGCCTCCCCTCTGACTCATACTACACATAGGTGGGTCAGCATTTTTCAACATCTTTAGTGGTTTTATTGCAATTCTAAATATTATTAAGACATTTCAACGGCTTATTGTTAAATTGATATCTTGCTGCCGCCAGTTCAAAATATAAAAGGTACAGACTGATTGTTTTTGATTGACGGCAGCGAAAAACCAAATTTCAGCATGCAGCTGGCAACTACCAAGTTTGCAGGATTTTAAAATAACATTGAATCGAATAATGTTTTTTGTTTTTTTTGCAGCTTTATGTGAACTGCCTGGAGTTGGTTCTAAGGTAGCAGATTGTGTGTGCTTGATGTCCCTAGACAAGACAAATGCCATCCCAGTAGACACCCATGTATGGCAGATCACTGAAAAGTATTATATGAAAAACCTAAGCAAAACAAAGTCACTCACTGATAAACTGTATAAACAGATAGGTAAATGCATGGTTTAGAGCATATTTTAGCTCACACCATAAAAATCCCAGCTTTAAGCCCCGCCCCCAGTTATGAGCCCCTCACCCCTTGGTTTCAAGCTCTCCCGGTTATAAGCCCGCTAGTCTGCTAAATCAAATATCCTAACCCCCTTCCAGTTATAAGCCCCCAGTTATAAGCACCCCCCAGTTATAAGCAGCACCCCCTGTTATAAGCACGCCTCCACCCCCCATCATAAGCCCCCATTAACTCATTAGTAACTGGACATTGATATCTCCAAGAAGCATCACTTAAATCATAGAAAAATTATTTTACCATTCAACCATTCACTTTACGTAGAATCAATACTGAAAATATTGATTTATGGGCTATAGGCATTGGCTTCACTTTAGTAATTTTCTATTAATTACAGAATAAAATCTTTTCTTTTTCTGACATTTTTTCTATGACAGGCGATTATTATAGAAAGCTTTTTGGGGATTTTGCTGGCTGGGCACAGTTTGTAAGTACTGCTATTAACAGTCTTTGTTACCAGGTGATTTGGAATCTAGGTGCTCAATGCATTGTTTGACACAGCAAAAATTTCCAAATTTATTCATTTATTTATTTTTGTGAAAACAAAATATTTTCCATCAACAATGATACACTATATATAAATGATCAAGATAAGGTGTATCTTTCCAATTAATAGTTTTATTTTCTTTAATTTTGAGTAAAAACTGACAAAGGAGTTAAGTTAGAGTTTATTAAGCCAAAAATCTGGAAATAGGAAATATTGAGCTATGAACAATATCTTAGCTTGTTAGAGACCTTTAGCATTGTGTTTACCGCTAACCATTAACCGCTAAGAATCTGGCCCCAAAAAACACCCGCAAACACTTGGCATCAATGAAATTCAATATTGCCAATCTTCCAGCAACGACTTCATGATGCTTCGCTAAAAATGTCAAAGCAAGAACACCATACTAAAGGTCTCTGGTTGCTAATTCTGTTCAGTGAAGGGAAATCACCTGGTAGCACTGCAGATATTAACATACATGAAGCATAATATTCAAATTGGAATCCCTATTTTATTACCTCGTGCTTGCCTTTGTTGGGAACTGGTCTGTAGTGGAAGAGGTTGTGGGAACAAAACTCAAGCCTAAAAATATCCGAGTAGAAGGTGCTGCCTTTGCACTAAGATATCTGCAATAGTGTAGACTTTGCATGGCTTGGATTACCACGTAAAATGGTGTTCCCTTCTCACTTAGAGACTTAAACGCAGTGGCAGATCCAGGATTTTGTTCAGGGAGGGGTGGTGCGCACAAAGTTAACCAAGGGAGGGGTGCACCCCTTAGAATCAAAGGGAAAAAACAGTAATAGTTGTCTTCGAAGTTGGGGTACAAATTCGAACCAGGGAGGGAACCTGGAAACATATAGGGTCACAGGTTTCAGGGATTAAAATAAAGGCTGGACATTGAACAATGGACATCCACACAGAGTTGGAACTTGTTTGGTCCAATCTTTGCCTTGCCAGTCGTTTTGACCAGTATTAATAATAACAATAATAATAATAATGATAATAATAAATAATAATAATTTTATGACTTATATAGCACAAAATTTCATTAAAGTACTTTCATTAAAGTATATATGATCTAATGCGCTTTACGATCTTTACAATCACTAAGAATCAAACTATACTAAAACTATGTCTAAAATCATGTAGTCCTAATTATTATATTATTTTACAGATAGAAAATCAAAAATGTCACTAAATGAACTAAATTTACCAAAACTCACAGTTACTCCATTACCAGTACTGTGATATGACTGGCGAATTACAGACCATTATATTACAGACCCTGTGTTTATCATTGCTAAGTTAGGAACTGTTAAGTGTCACCTTCTTTAAATAAAGACGATGATTATTATTACTGTTTTATGAAAATGAGATAAGCTTTTTTGTGTAGACCTTTTTTAGCTTGCCTGTGGGTTTCCCGGTGTGAAATGTTTTCCCATTTCACACCAGTGACATGTTATTCCCTAGGGTATCCTTTCTTTTGTTTAATGGTTACATACGAGAAGACACATGAGAGCTAACACTCTAGGGAATGGGACACATGGTCTGAAAATGGACAAGCATTATGCTCAAGTTAAAAATGCCTAGACAGTGAGAAAGTGCTTTAAGATTGGTAGAAATATTATATTTTAATTCAATTTGGAATAGTAAGCCAGTGTGGTGTGTAGGATTAAATTCATTTTGGACCTTTGAAAGGGGAGGTTCGTTTTTCTACCATTTTCTTAGTTATGCCATCTTTTGATATTCCAAAAACATTTTATTGCATTATTACATCTTATTCTTATTGCATTTTTTATGTATATGGGGGGGGGGGGGGGGGGGGGGGGGGGGGGTAATTCAAACCATCAAACCACCACACCCCTTTTGATCCAAATTATATAACTGTCTGCAGTATGATGTATGATTTTACAAAAAAACACACACTTTTACTCTTATTTCATAGGTCTTATTTAGTGCTGATCTAAAAAAATTCCAGAATATGCAAGACAGCGTGGACAGACAGATATCTCAAAAGGTAGAACTTCATGTAGCAGAAAATTGGACTGTTTGATATATGAAATGTTATTGGGTTTTGAGTTTTGGTTATCCTCTGATTAAAATCAGTGTAGACCATCAGTGTATTTTTGTAAATTTGCATTTTCATTCACTGATTTTGAATACTCACTTTTAGCCATTACCTGCTTTAAAAATTTATTTTTGTATAAATTTGCCATTGATCATCATTAAAAGTTATTTGTCAATTGATAACGAAGTCATGAAGACTTCAAAATGTCATACAAAACTATTGTTATTCTTTGTCTTGAAATATGATCATATTATTATTATTATATTATAAATAGAGGATATTACTTGGGAGCACGGAGATACAAAATTTATCTTCGAGTGTTGAAAAGATCTTTATATGATAGAGTACAAACACTATTAGTGTGTAACATAAATACCTGCTAAATTATGCTAATCATATTGTTTTCTATTGTTTAACCCTTTGACTCCTGGGGAAATAGCGCGCGGACTGCCCCCTGTCCCTGGACATTTTTCAAGAATGCATAACAAAAAATAACGCGTAAAATAAACCCTATGCGCAGTAAATACAGACAAAAGATATAGCTTCCAAATAAAGTTTATTCAAAAATGAGGTGAACAGAGGACC